GTGCATGAACGCCTTCGACGCGTTTGACTCCTTCTTTAGGAAGTAGGCCTGCACGTACCGGCTGTAGTCGTCCACCATGACTATGAACCACTGAAATCCTCTCTCGCTGAGCTGTTTTATCTGTGCCAGGTCGACGTGCATGACAGACCACCGGGTGCCGAATGATGCAGGGCATCACCAAGGTAGGACCGAATCTTCACCTTGGCTTGGATACGCACCTCATACTTGTGTCGTTCTCCTTCCTCCTCCTTGCTCCTCTCGAAGTCAGGTGCGTTTCGGCACACTTGTTTCAGTTTGTCAATGGCTGCATTGTGGTACTGGAGGAAGGGCTGATGAGCGAGCTCTGATGAGCGAGCTGGAGCGATTACTGGGGCCGGCAGTACACTAACCACAGCTAGTACTAGAGGTAGTTGTCCATCCGTTCCCCAACGCAAGAGCGGTGGTAACAGGTCCACCGGGTAGACAGGGCAGTCTCTGGCGTCCTTGTAGATGTCTAGGAGACATTCATCATATATACATTCTCCAAGTCGACGCGTGCGTGCGCAGATATACGCACACAGACATTTAACACATACCCACACTCCATGTCTAAATGTGCATGCGCAGGTGTGCGCACAAAGACATTCATCATATACACACTCCATGTCTAAATGTGCATGCGCAGGTGTGCGAATACAGACATTCATCATATACGCACTGAACGTCCACACGTGCATGCGCAGGTGTGCGCACAGAAAGATTCATCATATACACACCACACAGACATTCATCATATACACACACACTCCAAGCCCAAACGCCAAACGTGCATACGCAGGTGTGCGCACACAGACGTTCATCATATACACACACTCCACGTCCAAAAGTACATGCGCAGGTGTACGAATACAGACATTCATCATATGCGCACTGAACGTCCACACGTGCATGCGCAGGTGTGCGCACAGAAAGATTCATCATATACCCACACTCCACGTCCAAACGTGCATACGCAGGTGCGCGCAGAGACATTCATCACATATACACTCTGCAGCCAAGAGACACCAAGCAACACATGTCTGTAATATGCAAAAAAGTATGTCTGTGTGTATGTATGCCGCTAACCAGACATCGTTGTCGAATGCCTTTTCTGTGCACACACATATGGCACAACCACACGGAGTAAGATGATGTGTGTGTGTATGTGTGTGTCGACGTATTTTGCATTGCTCTTCTGGCTTCAGGGATCCATCTGCGGCCGTTCTGCAGGAGGCCGTGCAGAGCCGTGATGCACGTCGAGGAAATCTCTTAGTGGCCTCGAGTTGGTGCAGAGGATGCATTCTTCTCTAGCTTCCTCCGGAGACGGCAGTGAGACGGGGCAGCAGGATGGGTCATTCTCACCGCCATCCGCCCCTCCGCCTGCCCGCCGCCTGCCAGAGCCAGCCGGAGGGGAATGGAGAGCCTCTGTATGACTGAAGTTGTGGTCAAGGGAGAAGAGGAGAAAGAGGGGGAGAATTGCATATCATTCGATACGCCATGGAGAGACGGACACAGTGCCGAGATAATTCGATGGCTTAGGAAGGAGAAAAGAGTCTGGGGGCCTGTCGAGATTTTCTAGAACACGTTAGGGGGAGAAGACATTATGGTTGATTGACGCTTCGTTCATTCAGTCTGCAAGTCCACACGTGCATGCGCAGGTGTGCGTACAGACCCCTCCCTCTAACTCGACGCATCCGTACCTGTGCAGGTGTGCGCACAGATACGTTCACCACATACACCCCCTCTAACTCCACGCGTACGTGTGCATGCGCAGGTGTGCGGACAGAGATACCC